AGGCTATTTGTGTGACAGAAATTATTGTAAAGTTCAAGATCTAGAAAGGCTATTTGTGTGACAGAAATTATTTTAATGTAAAGTTCAAGATCTAGAAAGTCTGGTTGTATGAAAGAAAATGTAAATGCAAAATGATACGAGTTTAATATCTGAAACAATCGCTATGACACTAACTTCATGGAGATATCATTTATACATGAAATTACTGGTTTCGAATGATAACCACTGAAACTGAGTTACATCGCTTTTTTCAAAGAGTTTATACGTAAAGCTGCAATATCTTGAAATTAATAATTTATATAACATCTGTCCATGTAAGATAAAATATCATACAACACACACATACTAATACAGTTCACATTTTTACAGCTGTGGTTCTACATATTTAATTATTGTTTCTAACTTTTATACTTACGAAATAACAGTGAAGTCATGTTAATGGAAAACCTTTAGAAAGCTCTAACCGTTTACAGTTTGGTCATTAATAAAATGCTCAAAATTGTTTAAAATTTCCTAATTTTTCTGTGTATAAACTTAGGCTTTGATTCTTTGGTTGATGAAAGTTGAAACATATTGAACGCGTATAAACTGACATCATTATAGAATATTTTCCCCAAACGTTCTCAATATTATAATAGTAATATATTATAACTAATACAGATATTTGTATGTTTTTTCATTCAATGAGAACACATACGTTTATAAATAACATATCAAATAGTTTCATATCAATTATAGTTTGAATATGGCAAACAGATTTTTTAATAAATCTTGAAATACTTTTGTTTAACTACAAGTTAAATACCAATGTTCAGTTTACGAACCTGTAATACACTGGTTCTCCAGGTAGCTGATTTTTATATTGTTGTTTGGCTTGTAGTCTGTAGGTCTGGTTCTTCTGTCTTCCCTGCAAAGCTTACACTCAGTAGTCTCTTCGTTATAGAAGGCAGACCGACACGTGAAACTGACTTGATTTAAGCACGATTCTTCACAATCTCTCCTGCTCTGGACCAGCGGGATTGACCTCTCGTACAAGTGGGGAGACATCTCATATCCCAAGACTCTTTCGAAGGCCCAGGCTTTGCCCTGGCAGGCCATTGCTGCTTGGCCTATGATGAAATTATAGTTATAATCGTGGTTGCTAGAAGTGAAAGTATTGTAAGAAAAACAGTGCGCTGGCAACTACGCCGTTGTGTGGCTAATAAATATTGTCTGACTTCACTCTTCTTGTTCTATGTTTTATTGACGTTTGTACTATAAAAACCAATAGAAAATATTCTGAACTTCTGTAATATTTATTGTATAATTTTTTCATAATTTCATAATTCATAATTATTGAAGTTCTGCTATATTTCTGGGCCTACTTATAATTAAACGTCCTCTGCAAAAACACGCGTTTATCCCAGTTCTATGAACATTTAATTGACACATCTCTTATAAAATTTGATGTTAATCCTTAGCCTTCAGAAAATTTTTTCACCAATGATTTGACTTGTTATGGAAACTCCCAATGGAGCGTGTTTCATTACAACAAATCCAAACACTAAAACTTGTTGAAAACAAAATGATATAGCTAATGTTAGTTTCATGTTGATTATCTAGAGATTGGGCTTAGTAATTTCTCGAGTGGAATTAAAAAGTGGGGGTTAATTTCTATCTGGAGTGAGAAAAGGTCACTCAGTTTAAAACTAAGCAGAATACAAAAGACAAAAGACAAAGTAAGTAGGGGAAAATCCTACAGAGTGGCTCAACCTGATTATATACTAACCTCTTAGACACGACCTTTCAAAGTAATTTTCCGCTGTTCGGAGTGCCAACTCCCGCGTCCGGCCTTGTGAATTGCGGTCCAGCTGATCACACCGCATGTTTCGGTAATTGACGGTGAAAGCTGGACAGTTGAGCCCAGCTTTCTGACAGAAGTCTTTACATTGAAGCGTGATTCCCAAAGCTCCAGGATTCGACAGAGGAATAGCCCGAGTACCTGCTGACCTAAGAACGTAGCCTGTTATCTTCTCAAATGTGAATATCCCACCGGTGCATTTATCTAAAGTAAAATGAAAATATATATGATAATAGCTGATAATAATAAGATTACAGTTTGTTTATTTTTCATAATAAATTATTTATCAAGAAGAAAATAGCCACTATTTATTTGCATTACTAAAATAACTACATTATTTTTTAAAATAAACAACAGGTCACTGTTTACCTCCTCGTCTCAGTTTTGGTTTCATTTTCATTTATTGACTGGCCAATATCAATCCCTTTCCTATTCAATTCAGTTGATGGTTCTGCTCTTGCTACCTCATTTCTGAAGTAAAATGCTTTTGTATCTATTCTGAGTCGAATACCTATTCTCCTGTGCCCCTCCCCCGTACTTTAATGATCACACGTAAATCCTCCGCATGTCTGACCCCTCTTTACCAGCTCTCAGACCTTTATTCGCTCATATTCTTGAGAGTTTTCCCCTGTGTGCATCTATTACAGATTCTGATGTCCACCTTGCTTTAAGTCACCGTCGCCACTCAGGTCCTGGTCCGGAAGATCTCAGTTATTCCCTTCTTTCCCGTTCACCTGTACGGTTTCTTACTATTTGGCGTTCTTCTACACATTTCACTGGCTTTTAATTTACAGCTTGGAAATTTTCTACTATTTCCCTTTTCTTAAAATCATCGAAGTCGCTTCTTCACCTCGCTTCCTATCGTCCCATCAGTTTGTCTTCAGCAAGACTCTTTAATGAATCCTTTTCCAACGACTACACTATTTTATTGACGGCCAACAGTTGCTCCCGTTTACACAGGCGGGTGTTCGACCTCGTCTCTTTACTGCTGCTCAGCTCCGGTCTAATTATGAAACATTTCAACACTTCCAAACCTTCCTATCTAGTTATATTGTCTTTTTTTTTCAATTTGAACACGCCTTTGTTTTTGTTTGGCGTAGGGTTTTGATCTACAAATTTCAACATCTGTATTGTCGTCCTTCCTATGTTCACTAGGCTACTGTTTTCATTGAAAGCACTCGTTCTCGTCCATTCTCCATCGGTACTGTTGATCCCGTATTTCTCCTCTTTTACACATCTTTTTTGTTACTGATATGCCTGTCACTCGGCTTTCAGTCAATCTCCTACAATATGTCGAGGACACATCTTTTCTCGCTCTTTGATCCACGATGGTTACACCCAAAAAAGTTTTTCAGAAAGTTCTTACTTCTCTTCTCATCTGGAACTATCAATGGAGGCTTACAATTCAATCTGCAAAAACTCGACAAAAAGTTTACCGGTACCGTAACCCATATCATTTCAGTGTCATTATTAAGAACATTCCTATTACCCTCTCAAATACCGTCAAATGTCTTGGTGTTATTTTTCATGGTCATCTTAACTGGATGTCCTAAAGAAAAATTTGGTTACTTCCTGCCCCAGTTTACTGCGTTGACTCCATTGCTTATCCTGGGGTTTGAATCCTTAGATCCTTTTATATTCGTATAAAGCCGTTGTCCGTTCTTTCCTCGCGTACGATCATGTCGCCTGGACCTTTTCGCCATCTTCCTTTTATCGCCGCTTGAGAATTTTAGAACGTCGTGCTCTATGCCTAGCTTTTCAACTGCGTCTTCCAAGTCTTACACACGAATTATACTCTATCATCTCTTTTCCTCGAGTTTTCCTACATTTACGTGCTTTTTGTGTCTAATTCGTTCAACTCTGCTTTAAATAACAGAACCATATCTTTGATGAGATACTCTCCTATTCTCTGAATTACCCTCGAAAATTCTTCCCTTCCAATGATTACCTTCTGAATCTACATGTGTCGTTGCTGCCAGATCATCCCGACTATAATGCTGCACATATCCCTGATCTTCCACCACACATCTATCCGTGACATTGCACAGAGTGTCGGACTGCCCATTTGTTCTCCTGATTACTTCCATCACTCATCTACATAATATATGTTTTCTGATTCCTGCTGCCATACCCATGTTTCTGCTGTTTACAGTTCTTCACAGCCATGTTAGTTTCGTCTAAATCTCTTAATCATTACTTGTTCCCTTGATGCTCAATATCTTCTTTCATCTTCTGGCCAAAGAGAGGGCGTAACCCTCTGATGGCCCGCCAGCCACTATTAGCTGGAGTGAAATGGCGTTACGAGAAACATAACAAAAACAGATTACATCAGAAATAAGTTCACGGTGGCAATCTAAATATAATACTTTACGATGTTTTTATCACCGTATATACTCTCAAAAGCATCCACAATTTGGCCTACTGATGGCTTACGTAATGTTAACCTTGAAGGCTTACAATATAAAAATTCAATGGCTCAATTAGTGGCGTAGGCACAGAGTAGACAGCCCATTTTGCAATTTTGCGCTTAAACTAAAACAAAAAAGAAAGAAAGGAAGATTAAGTTTAAAGTATGTATATAGGGATATGGCAACGTAAAAGCAAGCAGTTAATAATGAAATGTGATATAACCTGTAATATGAAAACACAAGAGCTAACATCACGTAACAAGACCTAAACCATCACTGGCTGGGAGATAGTTTCGATTAATGTCAGCCTTCATTAAACCAGGTATGTCTAATATAAAGATGTAATGGAGCTTCATATGGCTTTAGATGTGGAAAAAATCATGTATTAGTAAAATGTAGAAAGCAATAAAGGAAGTGAAACATGTACTGTGTTAGAACAGTATAGAGGGACATAACTTGATAATTCAAGATAAAATGTGTTACAACAGTGTATGAAATAATTAATGGATGAAACTTTCACTGTATTAGCACAGTATAGAGGAACATAACTTAAGGATAATACAACGGTGTAAGAAGTAATTGATGGAATGAAATGGTTATTATACTATTAGATATTAAAAATACGTTTTAAAGGCATTGCATCCTATAATTGGAAAATGCGTTGACTATTTCTACCTAAGGACAATGGAGAGAGTTAGTCTTAAATAAGCTGCTAATCATTGCATGTCTATTCACATAACTTAGTTATATAATCAAATAATACTGACGACCCGGTAGGTTCACAGGTAATAGCTAATGTATACAGTTATACCCATACGCAGTTACGTTCTTTCGTGCATAAATATGAGACTCATGTAAACAAATTATAAAAATAGATAACGTTTTAAGACGGTGGAAAAAAAACGTTCACAAGAACAAAAATTGTAATGAAAAACTATTATAGCGTTACCCTCACATACCAACAACA